AAATCCCCAAAAGGACATACTGCAAAACAAAACATAATGCTGAATACTGAAGTGTTTTGTGGTGATATGGAAGCATGGAGAGAAGCTCAAACCAATGTTTGGGTGGTCATACACACCAACATTGGTAGAATATCCATTGTTGACTGGCGGTTCTGGTGGGCGTCCTCTGTGGAGTGCAGCAACAGCTGAGCCACTGCATACTTTGTGACTACAACCTAAATTAAACATATTTGGGTTACAGAAAAAATGCTATATTAATGAGTATGTTATGCAAAAGCAAGAAGCTCTCACAAGCTCATATGCCTGTGTAATATAAAAACATTTGAATGATTACTTTTGGTGGTACGAAGCAAGGACTGTCTTCCCAAGCCCAGAAGCGTTTGGACGCCAGGAACACTAGGCGGGATCTCCTTCTCGATGAGCGGGCCTATCCTCTTACAGAGGCGCAGTAGATAGTCTGCAGGAATGTGCTCATTCAAAATCACCTGCAATTAGACACAGACAGCAATTTTATTGAATATATATATGCGTGCTCACTCACACACTCGCGCGTGCGCGCACACACACACACACACACACACACACACACACACACACACACACACACACACGCTCACATTTCGACATGTACAATTAACATGCTGTTATACACAGATCCAAACAGATGAGTGTGGCCTTAAATTGATCGTGCTGAAATTTAACTCTGCAGTTAAAAAATAAAACTGTTTCACAAATTAATGAATTTAATTGTGTTAACAGAAGCCTTTCAATGTGACTTGGGGGGAGAGACGTAATACAAACAGGACTGCATCTCTTGAATCGAAGCCAAACGTGCTAACCACTATAACATCGTACTGTCTGCACTTTCAATCTTACTTTACTTTTTCCAAATACATTTCATCATCACAAAAATGTGACATAATGTATTATTGGTGTGTATTTGTTGTTGGTTTTTTTTATAGAACGTCTAGTCCTCTCCCAGGCTCAATTTAGCCTAGAAACAACAGTGTTTCGATAGCTGGCAGTAATTGTCAGCCCTCCTCCTCCGGTTGGCTCTCGATTTCAAAGCCTGAACGTGATTGGCTAAGAGTCATTAATGACAGCCACACTCCACCAATCCGGGTTCTGAAAAGAGAGTTCGCCTCCCACTTCCCCCCCTACACAAGAGCGAGCCGAAGCTATTAATCAGCAGCCCGATACTAAAATAAATGTAAAAATTAAAATAACGTTCCAAACTGCACTGCTGCAACAGGTTTGCATCGTTGAAAAAAATATTCACAACAAGGCAGTTTGGTGATTAAAAAAAATATACTTTCAACACGATTAAAAATAAATAAAATGTATTCACTCACCCAATCTTGGAAGTTCCGTTTATATTTATTTCCGTCCCAAGTCCATCGTTGTGGGATCAACTAAAGTTAAAACAAGTTGTTAGGAGACAGTGAGGACAATGGCCTCCGTTGGCGACTACTCGTTTCTCTGTGGAACTCCGGGGGGTGAAAAAAAGATTAACTATGACTTACAAAGCGACTAAATAGCAGGCAAGAATCGGCGATCCAGAACACATTGAAAGGCAAATTGTTGGTGTTGAACCTACCTCATATTCCTCCAGCTCTTCGACCAAAATCTAACAACGGGCACACACGGAATCAACGTTAGCTGCTAGCGCTTGGCTAGCCAATTTGATTCGGGCAAACTACACTGCCGTTATCGGTAAATGCGTTTCTTGTCGAGTTACCTTTGCTGATTTTTGACAAGGTCCAGATTGCAGGAACCTGGCAATGAGGTAATACAGTTCTGGAAGGGAGAGAGCGATATGTTAGCATATGTTGTTACCGTTGAGCCGCGCTAATGCTAAGGCATATTTGGCTCGCGCTCTGTTCCTTAGCTCGCTAACTCACACGCAAATGCAAAACGGTGGGAAATGGCAAATGTTTCCGAATGGATAGGGCAAGTGAGTGACACTTACCGCATTCGACCTGTGAACACCGTGTTCCTGCCATGGCTCAAAGGGGACAGGCGGCATTAAAACAACCTGATGTTTTGGCTCGCCCGTTAGCCGCCGGGCTAGCTAGTAGCTTGGGGTGTGTAGCTAAAGAGGCTAACGTTAGTGAGTGGCCTCTCTAAAGTTGCTGTCTGGGAGGGCACCCGGCCCTTTGTGCTGGCGCCCTCTAGTGACGGCTAAGCGACATTACCTGTTGCTCCTTTGACAAACATGACGAGTCGGTGCATAAATCAAAGATATGAAATTATGATATAATTTAGCCTTTGTTTTATGTATGAAAATATATTATGGCTCTGGCAGCACCGTGATCTAGTGTGTGTGTCTTGCACGTGCATGTTTGGGGTTTAACTGGCTTTTTACTAGGATACGACATTCGTTTTTTGAGGCCAATGCCAATATTAAAAAAAAAAAAAATCAGATGCCCGATTAATTAGCCGATTATTAAAAAAAAATTGAATAAAATAACGTGTTAACTAATAAATATGTAATTCGCAAAATACCTTGTTCTCTTAACCCTTACAATAATAAGGATAAGAGTTTTCAAATATAATAGCGAATAAGTTGTCGAAAATGGATGGCTGTAAGATATAGCTAGGGCTGAACAATGTATCTTTTTTTGTTGAAATTGTCATTCCAGACAATATGATCACATGATCTTCAAAGCTTCAGTTTTTTTTTGGTTTTTTTTGCAGTGCTCCTCACTGACCCAGAATCGTTGTATCAACTATCTCACACATAAACGCAGTCTCCTACCAAGCTCACCAATCAGAAGTGGCATGCTTCTCGTGACAGGTCATGCACACCAGTCAGCTCCGAGCTTCTGCTTGTGAACTGAAAAACTTGGCACTAACATGCGTCACACCGAGGCACAAGATACAAACTGCACTTGCTAGCTGATGTGGCTAAATATCTTCCTACAGTGCAAATCCTCTCCTGTAAGGAAGTACTGTAATCCTCGCCTCCATGGCGTAAAATAAGATACATTTCTAATAAGCATTGTTATCACTAAAGGTAAATGAGGAGTAGCAACACCGACAGACAGAGCACGATAAACCAATGCTAATCGCTAAACTAATCTCATGTTGCCAAATACCGGTGTACAGTACACTTTTTACAGAAGTTTTGCTGGAACCGCATTAAAGTGGAGAGCAACCAGCTCATTAATGTGCTAGTTGTACTTCTTGCCCTGAAGTTGATTTTTACAGAGGGGAGTGGGTGCTATGTGGGTGCTATGCATCAAAATTACAATTTAATCTTTTCCTAAAACTGTTCAGACCTAATGATAGCACTGACTTTCTGAGTGACTGTCAGAATATAAATGAATTGCCTCAGCACCCGAATGCTTTCATGTCACATCCATCATAGCGTGTTGTTATAGCTGTAAGGTGAATTGACCGTTTAGGGTTGTGATCGTGTGTACATATTCCCCTCTCTCTTCAGTGGACATAAAAAGGAAATTGTACAGTGGGCTCCCTGGTTATTGTGCTGGAGGAGTGTAAGGTCGGACCTAAACGCTCACTAGCCACTTCACACTTTTACTTCGCAGCCAGAACGAATCTGCAGGCCCAAAGACCTCTCGAAGTGTTTGTTGGTATCTGGCACTGAGACGCTAGGGAAGACATTGCAGTTGAGAGCACGCGGTTCTGTGGATCAGACATATTTTCCCGAGAATGTTCCTCTGATTCCAGATTGGATTTCAGTGAGAGGCAAAGTCCACACCTTGTTATGATCCTCAAAGCATTCCGGAGTCATTTTTTACAATGTGCCACTTGTTCATACACAAGTGCTGCAAGATGTGTGAGTCAACTCAGTGGCCCACTGTTTCATAGTACATCATACTGATTCCCCTCATGTGTCCCTGAGTGCATACTGGTGGAAAAAGTGTCACCACTAAGGTAAACAACACATATGCCAATGGTTATCAGTGAAACATAGCTAAATTAATTCCGCCATCGCTATTAAATGTTCAGTCGTAGACACTATTGGTGAGTGACCATTGTGCTGGTAACAGAACTTGAATGCAATGTGCGATAAATTTTTTTTCCATTAATTTGTTAGTGCCAATGTAGCTCTTATATGAACAGATGGACTTGTCATTCCCCTTAAAAAGACTGAGTGCTTCTGTTGGTGCACACTAGCACCAAGAGTATTTCTATTTCATTGGTTTTTCTGTGTGTGTGTTGTTGTTGATTTTTTTTTTAAATAAACACTGATTGATGGGTATGCATGACACAGCATGTTCTGGAAGATACTGGAGACAATAGCACCATTATTATGCCAATTTGTTATTTGAAATATTACTGAAGTAGAAACTTAATCAAGCCCAGACTTTGTGTTTTAGCCATTGCTATGCAAGTGTATGGAAGATAAAATAATAAAACAAATAATAAAGTTACTTGTGTTCAATGTCTTGCTTCTAATTAAAAGAGGAAAATCAGTTACTTTTTGGATTACAAGTTAGTCCCCCATGGTCATCATGTGTATCATTTGTTGGATTGATTCATTTTTACTATAAGTGAAGAAAACATTTACAATTTGTTTTTTGATTTTTACTTTCATTTAAAAAAGAAAACAATAAAAGTGGTTGTTAAATTATTTTTTTAAGGATTGCCATTATCCCATGAATGTTTCAGTTTGATTTCCTCTGAGTTATAACTCCCTCGGTAGCTATGGCAACAAAACCTAAATTAATGTAACTTTTTTTTTGGAAAAAGGAACAATTAAAGGTGATCGGTAAGAGTCCTTCTGCAACCCGAGTTTTATTCAAAAACATTTTAATTCATTTATGTATTGATTGCATAATGGTGTCTCTTGATCTTTCTTTTTTTAAAGTGACTTGGAATGTTTTGCAACCATGACGGTTTAGAAAATATACTACAGTAGTGATAAACGTTTGATTCATTATATCATCGAAAATGGAATCTCTCTCTCTCTCTCTCTCTCTCTCTCTCTCTCTCTCTCTCTCTCTCTCTCTCACACGCGCACGCGCGCGCACATCAACTTTATTTAGTCCAGTGGGCGGGCCCCGGCTGTGTCCGCATACTGGCTGCAGTAAAGCAAATGTTCATCCCTGTCTTCATACGAGCGTTGCCTTCGCGAGCACGCATTTTGAGTCATACGTAGACGTTCGATGCCGGCAGCTGCGTGGACCGGTTTTTAACGGGTCGGATCCTAAGAGATCGAAATCGATAGAAGAACGCTCACGAGACGTCAGTGGCAGCTCCGGCTCTGGACAACTTCTTCTTTTTCCACCCTCTTTTTTTTTCTTTTTGGAATGTAGAGCATCTGTTTTGTGTCGTCGCCTAAACAGCTTCTGCGTGTGTTTCCGTCTGACCTGCATTTCCCGCTGTCAGGTAAGACTTCGGCTTGAGACCGTTCACTTCACTTTTCTTAGTTACACTACTTTAGTTCATGCTTGTCTAATTTTTACCTACATAACTTGGATTTTGCGTATTTTTGTGCAAAATGTGTCCGCACTGAATGGCTGGATCTCATTCTAATGGTGTTGTGATAGTGTTTAAAAGTGTAACGCACTTGACATATTTTCTCGGAATCAGCTGCTGTGGAATCATAAATTGAACAGGAAGTAAAAAAAACTCTTGGTTTAAAGAATGACAAATTAAAAGGGAATAATAATACAAATAAGTAAAACACAATGGAATGACTAAAACCCAATTTGTAGAAATTTGAATGTAGAGGAGTGTGTGATTAGCTTTTTAGCGCAGAGCAACTTCCCGGAGTCTTCACGGAGACTTCAGGGTTGTCTACCGCTGACGAAGCTTCTGTGAGAGAAGCGAAACGTCCTTTTTTGCTTTTTTTTTTTTTGTTTTTTTTTTGTTTTTTACCCACAGGTACAGATGATGACTGACAGAACCCTTTCTACGATAACATTACATTAATGAGCGAGTCACATCACATCGTGTGTGTATGTGTGTGTGTGTGTGTGTGTGTGTGTGTGTGTGTGTGTGTGTGTGTACTGAAGGAATGATTGGCTTGTAAAAATTAAATGAGTGTAAACACCCGAGGCTGTTAAGGTGGATATAAAGCTATTACTCTGTTGTCAACAGGTGGATACACAGGTAAATTGTAACTTCTGCCACCTAGTGGAAGAGCATTTAATTGTTCTTCCTGTCATGATACATCGCTGACATAGATCAACTTTTTGAGCAGTTTTGCCAGCTCGATGTGTCAGTTGGCAACCGCGCAGAGCAATGAAGAGGATGTGTGCAGACAGCTGAGCAGGCCGACCTGGGTCGCTCCACGGCTGACTCAAGTGGGCCATATGCTCCTTTTACATCATGCTGCTAAACAGTTGGGGCCAGCTTCATGATTCTCTGATGCTGCGATCGCCTTCTGCTGCTTATTTGCATTCCTGTCACCACATTGAAGTTGTACTAGATAACCGCAGTATGTTTGCCGGCATTAAAACTCAACTTGCTCATAAAAGACATGGTCTTCTACCTCACGCAAATGTTGAATCGTGACTTAACCAGCCAATGAAGCGTAGTTAATACTAACCACTCTGCTGCGGGAAATTATGTCATTTCACCAAATTTGTCTGAAAGTGATCATTTATTTACTGCAAATCAGGTCCTCAAAGAGGACCTTGGGGAAAAAAATTGCAGATTAAATTGCAATATTGAGGAAAAACATCATAATTGGATTACAGTATTTTTAAAAAATCGTTCCGTCCCATTACTGTAGTTATTTGCATCACAAGAATAAATAATTTATGTATTTCCGTATGCAGAATACACTTTGTGGAACATTTTTGTTTGGCGGTGCGCAGTGAGATTTTTCCAATATATGCCTGGGGTCAATAAACGCTGGGAAACACTGCCCTATAGGTTGTCCTGTTTGCTTGTCCCGATTTATGCAATGGGAACCCATTGCATAAATCAGGACTGCTAGTTCGCATGATTATGCACTACTACTCGGTCTTAAATGAGATTTATATTGTGAAGGTACTAATGGGATGGAGAAAGCAGCCAACCTAGTAAAATACACATTAACATATCATAATAAAGCTAAGTACCAAAAGTTGAACTTGACAGTTTTTTTTGTATTTTTTTCCCCAACCAGAACCGCATAACATTTTTTTAACAGTCCCACTTTTGTGCGTGTCAGGAAAGCAAGTAAGTTAGTTAATTGTGTTGACTCCATTAAATTCACCCCAGGTCCGAATTTCCGAATCTCTTGGTAGAAAAGAAAAAAAAGAGTGCTGCGGTGAGGGTTAGTAAACTGATGGCACAGGGCCTCCTATCTGATGTTACAGAGCATGTTGTGGGGGGAAAGTAGGTTACTGGGCCATGTCCTGCAAGCTTAAACTGAAGGCTAGTCTGAATATTGCTCGAGCTGCTTAGTGTGACTGGGCATGCACAAATGGCTGAGGCCTGCGTAGGAGCAAAAGGGCTGATTCGGGCCCGCTGTCTCTTTAAGGAAACAGAGCCTGGGCGCTCCACAGAAGGATGAATGTTGAATGTTGAAGCCATGTTGATTCATCGTGAACACACATGGAACAGACACCAATCTGCTTGACTCATAATGGCACAGGAGGCAACCCCCGCCGGGGATGTGCTCACCTTAAACATCACTAATGACTTCCTCCTACTGTATATTGACCCGCCACCGACATTATGACCACATGCACAAAAATGACACCGTTTTGATATTAGTTTAGATTTGTGCGAGTGTACATAATGTTGTGTATACATCAGTAGAAGTGTTTCTGAACTCTCAGTGTGAGATCTCGTTAGGATGTGCTCATGTTATTGATTCCCATGGACTGTGTTAATGTACAGACTGTGTGCATCTTGTATTTTTTTTAACCCACATTTTCGGAAATAGGGTAACAGACATAAATCATTTCAGGTAAAGAGGGGATGGATACAAAATATTCCATATAAAGGCGTATCATTTCATATATTTATTTCAAAAGTGCTATAATGAAGTCTTAAAATATATCATCGGCTAATAAACGACCTTGAATCTGTCATGAGTGCCAGGCACGAATTCATATTTATTAAGATTTTAGAACACGGGCAGCAGTGAGGACAAGTGTTTAGCACCTTGTTGTGTGCTGCCTGAAGACTTTAAAATTTGAAGACTCAAAATTGTCCAGAAATGTCAACGTGAATGCTCTTTTTGTCTCCATGTGCCCTGCAAGAGGCTGGTGGTGACCAATGCAGAGTGTACCCCACCCAAACTCAGCTGGATTAGGCTCTAATATGGACAAGTACATAGAAAATTGACAGATGGAATTCCAGTAACCTTTGTACAGTTTATATTAAACCCTGTGACTTTTTATCTCTCCGATTTATCTGTTGGTATTTGTTTTTGTTCAACATACTGATAGAAGTTAAAAAATGCTTTACTGAGGAAACCAGCAAACACATACCACATGTTTTCACTAGTGACCTTTGCTTACATAAAATCATTTCATCAAAATAGTTCACATTCATCATATTCTGGGCATTGAACAGAAGATGACTACATACTGTCCTGTATTGGTGCTGACCAATGTTGAAAGCGGCAGAACCTTGAGATGGAAAAAAATTGAGTGCTTGAATTGAAGTAAAGTATATGAACCCTTCACGTAACGAAAACCCAGTAACAAAGGCCTACAGTAACTGGCATGACGTGAAAGACATCGCCATCCCCAACACGGAAACTGATGTGGGCACGCCCGTCAGATCCGGTGCTTTGAGATGAAATGGAATCACGATGAAATTGTCAGTAGGCAAGTTGATGAATGTATTTGGGGGCCCTACAATGCAAACTCGGGGGAACTGATTCAGTAATGTATCTCAGCGAATGAGAAGACTCGGTGATGTCTATTGAAGATCAAAGGTTGAACCAAGTAATGGGAATCGCTTATCAAATGATCCATGCAGCCATTGTTAGGCCGCCGCTTATCTTGTTCAGGGTCACTGCGAGCTGGAGCCTATCCTGGATGACTTTGGGCTAAAGGCAGACTACACAATGAACTGGTTGCGAGTCAATTACATGGCACATTTCTACAAACAACCATTCACGCAGAAGCAAATAAAAACACATCATTGACTATTATCAGATGATGCTACCCTTTAATTCAATACAGAGCCATCCTTACAAACAATGTATTTGCAACTCGGTCATATATTGCCCCTGATAAAAAGATTCCATAGACGCAATGGATGTCACTGTAATGCAGTACGCCAACTCTCTTAATATTATATTTCTTCTCTTTTACACAGTACAAATGTCATTGGCTGAAAGTCCCTAAAAGTATCATGTGATACATTCTCCATCACTGGCTTAGTAATAGAGGATGTGAAAATTGCAGGTTACAAACATTTCTTAATATTATATCATATTATATCCAGCCAGCCATTTTCTGTAACACTTGTCATTAGAGTTGTGAATGAGCTGGCCATCCCACGTGGGGTCCACCCTTAACTCGTTGCCAGCCAACTTCAGTTTAATAGATTGTATCATATCTAATATTCCTTTACTTTCATAATAACGTTCTGATACTCTACAATTGCAAATGAATTTTAAATGGATAAAAAATATCACACTTATAATAAGTGTGTCAGCGAGATTTGGAACAACATTAAAACTAAAACTGAAAAAATTTGAATGAGTCGGTTGGAAGTCAAGTTTTCAATTGACTTTAAAGTAACAATCTAAGTACAAGGGTAGAGAATATAGAAGAATTATACTGTATTAATGTCAGTTTTACCAGGACAATATGTAGCTGACCTAACTTGCGGGTTCCCTATTCAATCTTAATATAAAAACACCACCTCATAACATATTAAAAAAATTAAAAATTAAGATACTATTACTATGCAGGTGTTGTGTTACATGAAATGTCAGCGATTCAATATTCAGATGCAATAAAGTAAAAAGTTAATGTCAATTGATAGCCTAAGCCCAGCCATTTATGTCAGTCTCTATATACACTATTGCTTTGACATCACACTGAAACCCGATATAGAGTAGGACCGCTCCAAGGTTATTGAACTACATAAACAACGGTCTTTGTTGCGTTCTTGCTGGGGAAAACCATTGTTAACCTAACCGGAAAAGGCTCGTTAGAAAATGTTTGGACAAGAACAAATGCCTTGAAAGCGAGGGAAGTATTTTTGTTGTCATACCCGTTAAGGGCCAATGAACTCAACAAATAGAAGAGTAAAGTACAATGTGTATTGCTGAATTTAATCAGGAACCTCCTTTCCATCAAGAATATCTTTCAGCGACTTCTTTGCTTCTCACACATTTTTTTTAGGCATTGTCAAGGTAAAATAAATGCCTTCTAAATGTGACACATCACAGAGAGGCGCTAACCACCAGCTAGCTCATGAGCTAA